ATAACCCCTGAGGTCCAGTGTGCAGTGGGAGAAAACCCCTTGATGGATACTCACAGTGGACCACTGGCTGAGGATAGGCATCGTTCAAGTTAGGATGATGTATTAGTCCGTTTTTGTGCTGCTGATAAAGACATACCCGAGACTGGGTGATTTATAAAGAAAAAGAGGTTTTTAATCATGGTATTTCAGGATCACATACATATATAACTTGGGGGGTTTACTGTGAAATGCAGATGCATCAAAATAGAAATGTGAGAATTCTAGTGGAACACAGGCTTTATTCATTTTAACAGTTTTGCATACCAAGGAAAGCAATTATCACATTTCTTCAATACTTTTTTTTTGGTCCAGGTGAGCAAAACAGTGTCTAGGTGAGGAATTGGTTGCCCATGTACGAAGGACACACCACCTGACTTTCTTGCTCTCTCCAGGTAGAAAGATACTACATCAGTTCTCATGTTGATATAAAGTTTGTGAAAATCATTTTTTGGAGGGGTAATAAATTTACTTGTCCACATTAACTAACAACCTATGTATGTGGACCAGTAGACTTAATTTTAAGATGTCAGTGCTACTCAAATTGATCCAAAGACTCCAAACAAGCCCTATGAAAATCTCAACTGAATTTTTAACAGGAATTGACAAGCTGATTCTAGAAGTCATATGGAGAAGGAAGGGAACCCAGAATAGCCACAGTAATCCTGAAAAATGAGAAAACTGGAGGACTTAGACTTTCTCATTTCAAAACGAATGCTCTGCAGCCATCAGGCAGTATAGCAGCGGCTCACATAGACATATGTTGTGATGGGCTGCAGTGTCTCCCCCAGGATTCAAAAGGCTCAACCTCAGACTCATCAACTGTGTGTGAGAATACATTCTTTAAATGAATTAAGTTAAAATAAGGCCTTTACGGTGGGGCCCTGATCCAATAGGACTGGTGTCCTGATAGTCGTAAAAGGAGGAAGAGGCACGAGGGATGTCAGTGCACAGAGAGGGGCCCGCTGAGAACACCGTGGGAATGTGGTCATCGGCAGGCCAAGGAGAGAAGCCTCAGCAGGAAGCAAACATGCCGACTCCTTGATCTCTCGGACTTGGAGCCTCCAGAACTGTGAGAAATTGCTTTGTTGTTGAACCCTCCCAGTCTGTGGCCTTCTGCTATGGCAGCCCTGGGAAACCAGTGCACACATAGAGCAATGGATTAGAATTGAGGCTCCAGAAATAAACTCATACATCTGCAGTCAACCGATTTGCAGCAGAGAGGCCAAATATATCCAGTGGGATAACGGGAATAGGGTCTGTGGGTCACGTTGTTGGGAGTCACTGGAAAAGCATGAGGCTGGCAAGAAGCAAGAGGCCCAGCGGGTTTTGCTTTTATGGCCACGGTGCATCAGAGGGCACACTGTCTACATGCCTGTTGAAGTACTATGAAGGGCCTCTCGGAGCCCAGGCCTCACGGGAGGCAAACTGCTGGCTCTCCCACCCTTGAGGCCTCGCAGCACTTGGGCTGCCTGTGAGGCTCCCCCTAAGAACGACAGCCTGGGGCAGGGTCTTGGAGGACTATTCTCAGAAAGGGGACAGCTGTGGACCTTCTCAGAAGGGAGACACAGGCTTCTTCCCACAGACCCCATAAGTACCACACAGTCCTTGCTTTTCCCAGGCCTTAGGAAGGGGCAAGCCCTCTTCTCCACATGAAGTTGCTAAGCTCTCACTTGCATCTCAGAGAGGGAGGAACCCTGTGCTGGCTCTCTCTTCTGCAGATCTTGGAGAACCCATGGCCTCTCATACCCCTCCAGCCCTGAAAGCATGCTTGCTCTGGTTATTAGTCCAAGGGAGGGAGCTGCGGTGGGGTGGGGGTGGGAGCAGAGAGGCAGGGCCTGTATAAACCCATCTCCCCAGGATTCCTGCAGTCACCTGTTCCTCTCTCTATGGTTGGTAGCTCCCTCAAGACCACCAGTTACGCATATATGGGTCTTTCTTGTCTGCCTTGAATATTTTTATTTTTTTCCTCTAATGTTATTTTTTCCCATTTCGACATGTTCGGTTTTCTCATAGCCTATCTGCCTTGTCCCTTTCTGGGTATTAGCTTTGTCAGCTCTCCTTGTGGACATACCTCTGTCCTGCACATACATCTCTACTTTAGGATAAAGTATAGCCTACAAGAATGAGGTTTCTGTTGTCTGTCATATTGCTTGGTATAGCAGGTGGGGAAATGCTTTGGGTTAAATATGGAGAAGATAGCTACTTTAGAGTAGCAACTGCTTTGAGGCAGGGGTTCCCAAACCCCAGGCTGTGGACCAGTTCCGGTCTGTGAACTGTTAGGAACCTGGTCACACCACAGGAGGTGAGTGGTGGAGGAGTGAGCATCACCACCTGAGCTCCACCTCCTGCCAGATAAGCAGTAGCGTTGGATTCTCACAGGGATGTGAGCCCTACTGTGAACTCCTTAGAGTCTCACAGGGATGTGAGCCCTGCGGCGAACTGCTTAGATTCTCACAGGGATGTGAGCCTTACTGTGAACTGCTTAGATTCTCACAGGGATGTGAGCCTTACTGTGAACTGCTTAGATTCTCGTAGGGATGTGAGCCCTACTGTGAGCTGCTTAGATTCTCACAGGGATGTGAGCCTTACTGTGAACTGCTTAGATTCTCACAGAGATGTGAGCCCTACTGCGAACTACGCAGGCGGGGATCCTGAAACCATCCTCCCAACCCCACAGCTTCTTTGAAAAAATTGTCTTCCATGAAACTGGTCCTTAGTACCGGAAAGGCTGGGGACTGCTGCTTTACATTATATTCCTCTGGCCAAAATGGTGAAACCTCATCTCTACTAAAAATACAAAAATTAGCTGGACATGGTGGTGCATGCCTGTAGTCCCAGCTACTTGGGAGGCCTGAGCAGAAGAGTCACTTGAACTCGGGAGGCGGAGGTTGCAGTGAGCCAATATCGCGCCACTGCACTCCAGCCTGGTGACAGAATGAGGCTCCATCTCAAAAAAA